CTGCCGATGACGGATGGACGCGCCTCTCTACACGACCCGCCATCACGACCTCGTCGCGTCTGTCACCCTCCCCTCCCCGCCCACTAATTCCCCCACCGGACGTTTCGCCATCCGCGCGGGTCACAGTCCGTGACCCCACCCGCGCTCCAGGTCACGACCCCGCCTCTCCCGCAGGCAAGGCGGAGGCGATCTCGCAGGGCTCCGAGGGCGGCACCAGCCAGCTGGCCGTGGGCCTCAGTATCGGCGCCGTGCTGCTGCTGTACCTGGCCGCCATGGCCGGCTACCTCGTGTACCGGCGCCGCAAGCGACGCGCCGGCCATCAGCTGATCGAAGACGCGCTCATGGGCAAGGGGCGGCGCAGCGAGACGGGCGTCGGCGGCCGCGAGCGCCAGTCCAGACGGCGCAAGGAGGACAAGGCGGAGACCGATGTGAGTGATGCGGCCGGTGTGAGTTATTGGGAGGTCAGATCAGGAAGCCGCAGTGAAAACTGCGGCAGAGGCGGTCTTGCCCAGGGGTGGGGAGGGGGAGGGGGAAGGATGGCTCGAAGACAACAATTGACGCCATTTTTTATAAGCAGCGAAGGTGGAAATTGGCGGCCGGAAATGGCTTTGAAAAGCTCTGTGACTGAGGCGTTGCGGAACTGGTTCTTCGGAACTAATTGTCATATGGTCCGCGTGCGCAAATACTACCCGTGGGCTACAAGTCTCATTACAAGACCATTTCCTGCGCAGATTCTCAAGTGTAGCACAACACCGTGACAGTCAATCACATTCGACCATTTGCCTGTACACACAATGTGCGAAAAATCCCTCATCGCGCCTTTCCCACTCCCACGGTATTTTCTTGATTATTTTGCCGCTGCAGGGCTGATCTCGATTACCAGGTACTCGTGTCATTCCAAGCCACGGGCCCGCTTGTGGCAACATCCGGCCAACCTCACCGCGTCCGTCCGTTATCCACCTCTCACCATCCCGCCCACGGCGCGACCCCGCCTGACCCTGACGGCACCGCCAGGAGCCGACCGACCTGACCCAGCGGCCGGCGTCGAGTCTGAGCCACGGCTCGGCCGGCTCCAGTGACGTCAACGAGTGCCTGCCGGAGGACACGCTCTCCGCCCTGGTCGAAGCCGAGCGTGAGGCTGACCTGCTCGACGACGAGGATGACCTGAGGTCAGTCGGGTGATGGCACGCGACGCCGATAGCTTTGGAAGCTGGTGAAGCCCGGGCTTAGAAACAAGCGGATGTGTGAATTTGGAGAAGGGGCCTTAGAAATAACGGCATCCTCGGAATTCTATGCATTTGCACCCATTCTTAAAGTTGGGTATGAGCGACAACACATGCAAAGAGTGGCGCTTGAGGAGGAAGCAATCAAGGCCCATGTCGTGCACTCGTCGCATCGTAATCACGTTCCGCAACAAAGTACCTCCGCAAGGCAATTCGTGGTGCCATTGCAGCGCATTTGAATTGATTGCATAACGATGGCAATTATGGTAATGAACATGTCCGTGGTTTCTTTCAAGGTGCAAGGCACTTTTGTCACGGCAGCGTAGCGCAAATGGCGACAAACACTCGCGCTACGCTCTGAAGGCTCACATAAAATGCAAGGCTCCAATGTTAACGCCATGTCGATTTCCTGCTGCAGCTACCGCGCTTGTTGCATGAGTTGTAATGACGACGTTATGACCTGGCTTCCTTTCCAGCGGCCACAACGGTCAGCTGCGCAGACGGCTGTACTTTAATCCGGCCTTCTTTGATCCCGACCTGCTGCATGTGAGTGTGCTCTACACAGCTGTGGTCTACCAGACAAAGCTGTCCACTAACGGATAACTCATGGAAATCTCGGGCGAACCTAGTGTGTGCAAGGATCAAATGGTTGAGGGGTATGGTAGCGCCATGCATGGACAGATAAGCCTCGTGCGGACGATGTCTTATCGTGTCCAGCCTATCTACACAATTCGTTATCGTTCTGATCCGTTATCGTTTATAAGAACTAAAAACCATCGTACCTGGGTGACAAAAAAACACTGCTGCGTATGTAAACACTGCTGGGCTGAGGGTCCCGGCATGTTTCAAATGTGTTCATACTGTACCCGCATGCAGGACCCTCCACCGGGTGCACTCGAGTTCCTCGCCAAGATCCGCGAGATGATCACCATCGCCAAGATCAAGATGCAGGCGAAGCAGTACCAGCCGACGCTCCCGCCGATCGTCGAGGCGGCCGACGAGGAGGCGGCGGCGGCACCGGCAAGCGCGGCGCGCCCCGCCGCCGGCCGCGCCGCCGCCATCGACATCGACCGCTGGCTGGAGACGGTCGTCCGCGAGTCCAACTCAGACGACGGCGAGCCGCTGTACTCGGACCAGTCGCTGCCTCGGCCGCGGCGCGTCAAGAAGGCGGCGCCGCCGCCTCCACCGGCCGCCGCCGCGTCGCCGCGCCCGACAACCACCAGCTGGCGGCAGCAGGCGCGCCAGCAACGCGACGAGACCGACAGCGACACGCTGGTGGGCGCTAGCGGCGACGAGCAGCGACGCGCCGGCAACGCCTCGTTCGACTCAGACGACACGCTCAACGACCTGGTGTCCGAGGCCGAGTCGAAGGTGCCCAAGCTGCACTCGGACGAGGACAGCGTGTACTCGGAGGTGCCGGCGGCCGGCGCGGCCGAGAGGCGGCGCGCGCGCGACGACGGCGTCTACGAGGAGATCAACGTCAGCGACCGCTCGCTGTCGGCGTTCAGCGGCGAGTACACCAGCGTGAGCATCCACGGCGACGGCACCGTCATCCGCACCGGCGGCACCATGACCATCGAGGTGGACGCGGCGGCGGCGCCGGCGGCCGGCTCCGACCCGGAGAGCGAGGAGGAGGTGTTCGACCCAGACACACTCGAGAAGCGGCGCATCCGCGTGCGCAAGGCGCGCCAGGTCCGCCGCAAGCCCAGCTTTTACGACGACTCGCTGGAGCGGCGTAAGCGCGGCGTCAACTACGAGGAGAGGTTCGAGACGACGCACATCAACGTCAACACGGTGCTCAACACGTCGGCGGAGAGCAGCGAGTCGGTGTACAAGCAGTGGGGCTCAGTGGCGTCCGGGTCGGACGCCAACTCCGTGTACTCGCGCATCAACTTCGTCACCGGCAAGTCGCAGAGGCGCGAGCTGGTTGTCGGCAACCTGCGGCACAGCCAACGCAACCTCAAGACGTTCAAAGACTACAGCACAATGAAGTTCGGCGGACGAACCTCGTTGCTCGAGCAGTGGAAGAAGAAGAACGAACAACAGCGCGGCGACTCGGCCATGTCCGGGACTTCGTCGCTGTCAGTAGCTTCGCCGACGCCGACGTCGCCAACACCGCCGACCGCGCAGTCGCCGACCCCGACCACTGTCACTTCTGTCTGCCGGTCAGACAGGCTCAGTGGCCCTCCGCCCCAGGCCGAGCCGACGCCGCCCATACCGCCCAAGGCGAGTGTGCCGCCGGCGCCAGCCGCCGCATCGCCCGCCGCGGCGGCCGCGCCGCCCACTGCGGCGGCCGCCTCACCCGCTGTGGCGTCCACCGCGCCACCGCTGCCGCCGCGCACCCACTCGCCGCAGCGCGAGCGGGCCCTGGCGCGTGCGAGCGCCCCCGCTGCATCCCTGCAGCCGTCCCCAACGCTGCCGCCGCGACCGACGCGCACCGAGCAGCCGCCGCTGCCGCCCAAGTCGGCCGCGCCGTCACCGCCGCCGCTGCCGAGCAAGAGCCGCCCGGCGCCTCCGGTGCCGCCCGCCGCCTCGCCACCGCCGTCGTCGGCTCGCCGCTACTTCCTGGGCCAGATCGACGGCGCCACGGAGGGCGGCCCGCCGCGTCGCCGGCGTAACAGCGCCGGCGAGAGCGAGACCAACTCGACGGCGTCCTCGCACGAGGAGGCGGGCAGCACGGGCTCGGCCGGCACGGACAAGTCGGACCCGGGCAGCCACACGCTCGGCCGCCACGTGGAGGCGCGCCTCGAGCGCCACCTGCAGCGCAGCTACTCGGCCAGCGACGTGTCGCGTTCGGAGCTGGAGTCGCTGACGAGCTCGCGCAGCTCTCTGCGCTCGCCGCAGCGCGTGTCACCCAACGTGCTCGAGCGCATCAGCGAGTGCGAGACGGCGATCCGGCGTGGCGCCGGCGCCGGCACCGGCATGGCCATCGCGCTCGGACTCAAGGAGCGCCAGGAGGCGGCCGCCGAGCGGCCCAGCCTGCGGCGCACGTGGCGCCGCCTGGTGGAGCCGCCGCCGGCCGGCCGCGACGACTCGGGCTACCAGAGCACTGACTCGGCCGAGTCGCACCGGCCGCTGGCCACGCCCGGCGGTATTCGCCGCCTGGTGAAGCAATTCGACCGACCCGAGCGGGAGGCCGAGCCGACCAGCCCCTCGCGGACACGCTGGGTGCACGTGAAGTGACGCCGCGGCGCCCGGACCGAGTGAACTGTGGTACAAGTAGCGTAGAGGCTGTGTTACGTTTGCTGCGCGCTCGCGCCTGTTGTTAATCGGTTAGTGTAAGAGGAATGATCGGTTGGACGGGCTGCCAAAGCAGTGTTGATTGCTATGCGAAGCTATGCGATGGTGTGATTTAGCGTGCGATGCGGGACGCCGAACCGCTGATGTCCTCTCTATCACCACCATGTTATTGTTCGCTTGCTTTGTTGGGGCAGATAGCGAACTGCGGGCGGTGTCTCAGAACATCGCACTTTAATGCAATGTATGGGATGGTGTTAGCATCGAAGAGGCAGTCTTAACTATCTCAGTTGCCAAGCCTTGTTATGTGCCCGTGTTACATTGGTGTCCCGTTTGTGGCTGCATGATTATATTTCCAATATCGAATGTGCTCTCTGGAAGTTGCGTATGATGATCGATGTCTTCGGCTTTACAAGATGATCTATCGTTACTGGACATAAAACGTGCATCAGCGCCCTACAACACGCCGCACTAGGTTCTGACACCAACGTCAACGTGCATAGATAAACTTTAAAAAATTAGTTTATTTCATTTACCTCATAAGCGACTCGATGAAACTGGATACAAGTACTGGATACGCGCCACCAACAAGTACTCACAGCGCGATACAGCAGTAAGTTTTGAACCACAAATCTCCCGGTCAGCCCGCTATCACAGTCCACCGGTCCACCACCACCGGCCGTCAGCTGAGCGCAGCCTCCTCCGGCTCCACCAAATCCAGCGCACAGGCGGCCGTGTTATCCTCGAGCTGGGTCAGCCGCCGCCGCCAGGGCCCGTACTCCGCCATGGGCACGTGCAGATCACCGAGCCGGAGGCCGCGGCGCTCGGGGCCGCCGGCGCCCCTGTCGCCACCTAGCCGCGCCTCGGTGAACTGCAGCTGGGCCACCAGGGCGGCGCGCATGTCGTCAGCGGTGTGGAGGCGGCGCGCCGAGCGCAGCTGGCAGTCGGGTCCGAACAGCTGACGCAGCCGGTGCAGCAGCAGCGGCAGCTGGCCCTCGTTCCTGCGGAGGGAGGTCAGGTCACGCTGATGTGATGGGGCTAGCCTGAAGTCGCGTGACACGCACGGAAGACAGCGTTAAAACATACGGGACAGCTCTTAACCACGAGCCTTATGTGGGTGCCACAGTCGTTACGACATCTCAGGCAAGTGAGAAGCGCAAAACCAACGCAGATAGTGCAAGAACACGGCCAAGGCAGCCCAACAGCCAGGAAAATCCCAATATTTGGATAACGGCACTCACTAAAAACGTCCCACCCAAACTCCAAGGGAGCGAGTTTGACAAAAGGAGTTTTCACTACACACTAATCTCGTTGCGTGCAGCAGTGACCAGCGCGAAAATGTTCCCCACTGACCTGACCCAGACGGTCGCTGCGAGCCGGTCATCGCTGTCTCCCGGTGTCAGCAGCATCAGACAGCCAAACAGAGGATGACCTAACAACAGGTCACCACTTCAGCCAGCGCAATGCCACGCGACCTCTATTGGCCCCAGAAACATACGCAGGCCCATCAGCTGCCGTGGTTGGGTGCGGAGCAACAGACGGCGGTAACTGGGACAGTCATACAGAATACGTTCCTTCGCGACCATTTATGCATCCCTGGCAACACAATGCTGGATCCACGCTTCAGGTACCAGAATACCAGTACAAGAACGTTCCACGTACTACATCACCAGTGCAGGTACGTTCCATATACTAGAACACCAGTACAGGTACGTTCTACACACTAGAACACCAGTACAGACACGTTCCACGTACTGCAACACCAGTTCAGGTACGTTCCACGCACTAGAACGCCCCAGTACAGGTACGTTCTGCGCACTAAAACACCAGTACTGGTACGTTCCACGCACTGGGACTCCAGTTCAGGTACGTTCCACGCACTGGAACACCAGTACAGGTACGTTCCACGCACTAGAACACCAGCACAGGTACGTTCTGCGCACTAAAACACCAGTACTGGTACGTTCCACGCACTGGAACTCCAGTTCAGGTACGTTCCACGCACTGGAACACCAGTACAGGTACGTTCCATGCATTAGAACACCAGTGCAAGTAGTTCCACGCACTAGAACACCAGTACCGGTGCGTCACACACACCAGCACTGGATCTACGTTCCACGTGCCAGTTCGTCATAGACCAGAACACGTCCCACCATCAGCACGTGTTCAAAGGGTCCGTTGGAGATTTCCGCACACAAGCACAGAATGCCCTCGCAGAAAGCACGTCTCACTATTCCCGCTACCCACACAAGGGCAGCAGAACTGAGATCCGCTGCAGTGACGCCCAGGATAGCACTCTGTCCCACCGCTAACGGCTAACACTGGGTCCGCCCAGCGAAGCTCACCGGGCTCCGTCACAGTGAAGCCCGCTGCAGTGACGCCCAGGATAGCACTCTGTCCCACCGCTAACGGCTAACAATGGGTCGGCCCAGCGAAGCTCACCGGGATCCGTCACAGTGAAGCCCGCTGCAGTGACGCCCAGGATAGCACTCTGTCCCACCGCTAACGGCTAACACTGGGTCGGCACAGCGAAGCTCACCGGGCTCCGTCACAGTGAAGCCCGCTGCAGTGACGCCCAGGATAGCACTCTGTCCCACCGCTAACGGCTAACACTGGGTCGGCACAGCGAAGCTCACCGGGCTCCGTCACAGTGAAGCCCGCTGCAGTGACGCCCAGGATAGCACTCTGTCCCAACGCTAACGGCTAACACCGGGTCGGCACAGCGAAGCTCACCGGGCTCGGTCACGGTGAAGCCCGCTGCAGTGACGCCCAAGATAACACTCTGTCCCACCGCCAACGGCGAACACTGGGTCGGCCCAGCGAAGCTCACCGGGCTCCGTCACGGTGAAGCCAGGCGGCGCCGGGACGAAGTCGGCCTCGATCAGCCTGTCGCGCGCGGCCTGCAGGCTGACCGGTCGCGCCAGCTCCAGCCATAGGCGCAGCTGGCGGCAGCTCAGCGCCCACAGCGTCTGCACGTCCTCAGGCGTCACGCCTGCGCGGGCGGCGGCGGGCGGTCAGCGCCGGGGCGCACAGCGATTAGTGGTAACTGGCGCCGGGGAAAGGGGGAGGGGAGGGGAGGGGAGGGGAGGAGAGGGGAGGGGAGGGGAGGGGAGGGGAGGGGAGGGGAGGGGAGGGGAGGGGAGGGGAGGGGAGGAGAGGGGAGGGGAGAGGGAGCCGCGCAACATGACCATTGGGATGTGCAGTTGGTCTTATGCGGGTGGTAGCATGATAAATACACGGCTTAACTGGACGTTTGTTCACACCTATTGCCGCCAATTACTGCCGTATTGAGCAGTAATCTGTACTGGGCAGTACTGGGCAGCACTGGGCAGTACCATGAACTCTGCGGGGGTGACGAATGTTCCATGGGATACGGACAGCGTAACTAAAACCAACCGATGATCTGTGGACCCCCACCCCTGCACCACGGGCGCGTCAACAATGACGCGATTGCTAGCAGCAGTCGGTTTCCGACTTTTTGGTTGTTTCTACGGCAAGGACCCGATGTGAACTCCAGAACTCTTTACCCCAACCCAGGCCACAGAGGTACGGCACCCGTGGGTGGCAGGAGTTAACACCCCACCACCGACCTCCGTCAGCGAAGAGCCGGTGCCGCCGCTCCAGCAGATCGTCCACGCTCAGCGTCACGTCTCCGGCCGTCAGCTGGTAGAAGCCGACGTCCGTGTCCAGCTCGGGATGGGCCGGCGGCGAGGCGAGCACGGCGGAGAGGCGGCAGCCGGCCCGGCCCGCCGACGCCGGCAGCTCCACCACGGCTGGGGACGGGCACACAGTCAGAGGCCCGCCTGCCACCGGCATCAGCCGATCCGGCAGGCCGACGCCGGCAGCTCCACCACGGCTGGGGACGGGCACACAGTCAGAGGCCCGTCTGCACACCGGCATCAGCCGGCCCGGCCCGCCGACGCCGGCAGCTCCACTACGGCTGGGGACGGGCACACAGCCAGAGGCCCGCCTGCACACCGGCATCAGCCGGCCCGGCCCGCCGACGCCGGCAGCTCCACTACGGCTGGGGACGGGCACACGGCCAGAGGCCCGCCTGCACACCGGCATCAGCCGGCCTGGTCCGCCGACGCCGGCAGCTCCACCACGGCTAGGGACGGGCACACGGTCAACGGCCACGCCTGCACACCGGCATCAGCCGGCCCGGTCCGCCGACGCCGGCAGCTCCACCACGGCTGGGGACGGGCACACGGTCAACGGCCACGCCTGCACACCGGTATCAGCCGGCCCGGCCCGCCGACGGCATGGCACCTGCCTGAAGAGCAGACAACCAATAAACAGACAGCAGCAGATGGTATGGTACCTCTCTGAAAAGCAGACGACAACCCATAAACGAACACAGCGATGTGTTGGTGTATAACGTGCGGCATCGGAGCCTATATTGCCTGAGAAAAGAAGGACAACGGCTGGTTAGCTCAGTTGGTTAGAGCGTCGTGCTAATAACGCGAATGTCATGGGTTCGACCCCCATACTGGCCATTAGTTTATCGCGCCATACAATCGATCACAGCTGGGGACGGGCACGCGGTCAGAGGGCATGCCGGCAACTCCACCTCGGCTGGGGACGAGTACACGGCCAGCGGCTACGCCTGCACACCGGCATCAGGGCGAGGCGGCAGCGTGTCGTCTATTAATTGGCCGTTCGTGTTTTACATGCTGCGACTACGCGGTGATGGTGTTCATGCACCGTTCATATAGGGCGTTCATCAACGTCCATGCAGTGTTGACCGAGTTCGTGTAAGGCGCAGAAGCAATATGACATGTTGGGAGCCTTGACAAGAATTATGACTGGAACAACTACTCAATCACGGTGCATGGTCAATACTGGACTTCACACCATTCCAGAACACAGATCTTTGGAGAACGACAGTTTCCTCTGCGTCATCTCCTACTGCTGGCATCGTCTCTCTTGATGGCTGAAATTTATCACAGGTCGTGCGAGCACACGTAACCAAATCCAGAACGCGCCCGGGTCCGGTTCGCCTGTGCGTACCAAAGGTGCGAGCCATCTTCCCTGGGGGCAGGGCCCCGTCCGGACACCGGTCCAGCCGCTCGTCCAGAACGAACGGCAGCGGCACGAGCCGGGACTCGTACCGCAGAGGCTCGTCCGGGCTCACCGACAGCAGCAGAGACGGGTACGGCACCTCCCTGGAGGGCAGACGACAGATAAACAGACAGCAGCAGAGACGGGCATGGCACCTCCCTGAAGAGCAGACGACGACCAATGAACAGACAGCAGTACAGACAGGTATGGCACCTCCCTCAAGAACAGACGACAACCAATAAACAAACACAGCGAGGGGTTCGAACATAACGTGCGGCGTCGGATCACACACTGCCTGAGAGAACGAGAACGCCGGCCGGTTAGCTAGGTTGCTTAGAGCGTCGTGCTAATAACGCGAATGCCATGGGTTCGACCCCCATACTGGCCATTCGTTTATCACGCCATCTAATCGACCATCGATCAATAAAGACGCGCTCGCGATCGCAGCTTTTCAGTGAGCCTATTGATTTCCCAAACCCTGTGTTCAGCCAATATGTACCTCAAACATACGCCATACGTTTGTGATATACTGCGTCAGTGCCCTCCAAAAATGACTACCAATATTTATATACCTGCGGCAAAAGTCAAGTAATGAAATCACAGATAATAAAACCTCCAGATTCTCGTGTCGGTACAGGCCTATCGTATTGTGCTCCATATAATTGACCCAGATGTTTAATCTGCAATGCTTTTACAAATGCGTTGACAAGAATTCGACAGACTGGCAGATCTGACAGTTTTACAAACATATATGCTTGCATGAACGCAAGGATCATTGTACGCCCCAGTGAGACAAAGCCCCATTTTCAAACATGTTTGGAAAAAAATTAACGAATCTTCGGACACACATCAGATACAAGCGAAGAAGGGAGAAGAAAAACCTTGTTCGATCTGTATTAAGGCCTGCAGCAAAACATTTACTGCCACTTACGTGACCGTAGAATAATCATGTGTCCAGGGCTCTGGACCCTGCCACGGAAGGTTTCTGCAGGACCCGAGATTCACCAAGTGAATCCAGACAATTCTTTGACTAATGCAATACCAGACAAAACAAATTTTGGGTAACTGGCAGAGACCAGCAAGGAGGAGGTAAACTGGGGTAGCCACAGCCAGACAATGGCAGACAGCGTCGTGCTAACTCGACTGCCAAGGGTTCTTTCCCCATGTCGACCACTGTTTGTACTTACATCAGACAACCGCACATGTGACACCACCTCTGGACTGCGATTGGTTAGCTCTGGCTGCATCCATGCGCGGTCCGCAGAAGTGTTGCGCGCCTACCAGCCGACTACTCGTGACCCACCGATTCATCGACAGCCGTGGCGAGAACCGCTCTCTGTTGCGTCCTCTCGTGCTATCGCCTCAGGCACCAATCACAAAGCGCAGCGGCTTCGCAGAGACCATGCAACGCCGTCGAGCCAATGTCTGCCCACGTTTATGGGGTCACGGCGTCATCTGCCTTTCATCGATACTCTTCTTTTAAGAAAGGACGATATGACTGAAAAGTAAGACAAAAGCTAGCTAAAGCAGCACGGGTGGCAGCAGCTGGCACCTCTCTTGCAGACTACCACAGATCGATGCGCTGAAATCGAGCCTGCGGAAGGCGGGAACAATTCACAGATACAGATATGCATTCGTTGTGCAGATGGATATTCGTAAAGGCCATCCACAATTGGTTTTGCAGCTGATAGAGCCCCTTGTCTAAACGTAAAAAAGGAATGCACCATTATCACAAAATACTCCGGCCCGTGCCTGCGTCGGTTATAGCGCCTGTCTCTCAGCCTGCCCGTGGCGGGATGGGTGGGTTCAAGTCAGTTCGGCGCCCACCATTTGCCCTTGGCTGGGATGGCCACGATCGGTGGCAGCGGTCGGTTACGGACAGACGAGGTCAGGGGACGGGATGGGTCGTGCCGAGCATTGCGACACGCCTCACTATTCCCGCAAAATTCTGCTGTTGAACTGGAACATCACGATCGGGCGGCGAGGTTAAGGCTCAGGCAACAAGCGTTCCTTAGCGTGGGCTCTGATGCAACAAGCATTCCTAAGCGTGGGCTCTGTTCCCAGACATCCATGCAATCAAAACGTGCGGACTGCATTTAGAACAAGAATACCACCACCCGCAGTCCCTCCATGTCAATCTATCGAACAATCAGCCAATCAATAACCAGTCAACTCCAGGCTATGACCGCAGTCGCGCATACGTCCAAACCATAGACAACCGATCCCGGTCCGGACGACGCGCGGGAGTCCGGCACAGAGGCCGCTTCGGACCGGTGTCGCCTCATGGGCGACTGAACAGAAGCGCAGGAAGCGGCAGCAGCTCGAGCGGCGGCCAGCTGTAGTGTCGGACGTCGGCCGCCGATGTGCCTCCTGCCCGAAACGCAGCGGGCGAGCAGCGACACACCAAGGAGGAAGCTACCTCCAATCATCGGCTGGCCAGGCCATCTGGTATCGACCGTTTGTTTAATGGAATCAGTTTAAGTCCTCTAAAAATGCGCTGATAGCCTCACTGTTTGCTCCAACAAAAAAGCGCACACAACAGCCATGAGTGCCAAGGTACCTCCATGAGACAGCCAGCTATGGAACGGAGCACCAACGATCAAGGCACAACAGCCATGAGTGCCAAGGTACCTCCATGAGACAGCCAGCTATGGAACGGAGCACCAACGATCAAGGCACAACAGCCATGAGTGCCAGGGTACCTCCATGAGACAGCCAGCTATGGAACGGAGCACCAACGATCAAGGCACAACAGCCATGAGTGCCAAGGTACCTCCATGCGACAGCCAGCTATGGAACGGAGCACCAACGATCAAGGTAGATCATGTTACCAATCAGACGGCAGTAGTAAACGGAAACAGGTCTTTGAACGCAGTGGCTGCAGTGGAGTTGGAGGTTTCATGGAACACGGTAAAACAAAGGATGCATTTAATGCGATTATTCAGCTACAGTGATTTGCATCGGCATATCAATGAGCTTTGAGACACGACTTTGATTTGCAATCTGGGCGCCGGAAACACTCACAAGCACGCGTCGACTGTCAAAATAAAAAGGTGCTGCGAGGGGCTGTCAAACAAACATCGAACTGCAACTGTATCGCAAGATAAAAACAAATTAGACGAGCCCCAAACAGCTCGCAACTTAGGCTGCTTGACAGCGAGCCGCTGGCCGGTTAGGTCAGTTGGTTAGGGCGTCGTGCTGATAACGAGAATGTCATGGATTTGCCCCCCCCCCCAATACTGGCCATTCGTTGATGTCATTCATTCGACCACCTATTACTCTGCATACCTCCTAATACAATTTCTGTGTTCGAGCACAGTTCTCCACACCGATTCTTACACTTTATCCGCACTATCCATGGACACCGAGTGTGTGGTATATTACAATATGTGCTCCCTGAAACGATACGCACCCCATGCACAACATCCATGACTGCCATGACACCTCAGATACAGAACCACCGCCGGAACGAAGTGTCAACAAATCAGGGAAATTAAGTGACCAATCAGCCAGCCCCAGTTAACGGCTTCGTATTTGAATGCCGCAGCAGCGATGGAGTAAAAGATCCTACCAAACCTGGTACATCAATTCAAAAGCTACACCACAGAAGCAAGAATTTTAGTTATATTTCAAGCCCTAACAATTTGTATCGGTGCATCACCAAACTTTA